TACACCAGAGAGGACCAACAGCCAGGCTCCCAGTGAGCTCCGGGCAGTGGAGGAGCGGGTGCGGTTGATAGTGGCTGGCTAGTGCCATGTGTGGGAGACAGTGGGGAACAAGGTGGACCCAGGCCTGTCCTCTCAGAGCCCACAGTTCCGCATGGCAGGTGATCAAGCAGTTTCACCATCGAGAGAGCAGTGCTGTTGGGGACACGTGGGTGCCATCGATTACCCAGGAGGTCAGGGAAGGCTTTGCAGAGGATGTGACTACCGGGCTGAGACCTAACATGCAGGTGGAAGTGAGCCAGGCTCTGGCCCAGATTGTGCTCATGTTGGGGCCCTAGGGAGCTGAATATACCTCAGAGAAGGTGCCAGTGCCCCGGGGAGGGGGACAGGGAGGGAAGGGAAAGGAGGCCTCAGACCTCGAGGCCCTCAGGCCGAAGCCTGCCCCCCTCACTTTCCCTCCTGCTCCTTCTGCTCCAGATCGAGGCACTGCCCCCAGAGCTCTTCCAGTGCCGGAAGCTGCGGGCCCTGCACCTGGGCAACAACGTGCTGCAGTCGCTGCCCTCGCGGGTGGGCGAGCTCACCAACCTGACGCAGATTGAGCTGCGGGGCAACCGGCTGGAGTGCCTGCCCGTGGAGCTGGGCGAGTGTCCGCTGCTCAAGCGCAGCGGCCTGGTGGTTGAAGAGGACCTGTTCAACACGCTGCCCCCCGAGGTGAAGGAGCGGCTGTGGAGGGCTGACAAGGAGCAGGCCTGAACCGCTGCGGGCTGCCGAGTGCTGGGCTGGCCTGCAGCGGCCGGTGCTGGAGTCACCGAGGGGGCCTCTGGCCCAGGAACCCAGGAACCCTGGGACAACCAGCCCAGCCTCTCGGCCAGCGCAAGAGCCTGGGCTTGGACGTGAGCTGGGCCAGGGTGACAGGACAGTACCTGAGGGGCTGGCCCCTTTTCTCCCTCTGAGACTCAACCCCCAGGGCAGGCGCCTGCTGGGGAGATCAGAGACCTGTAATCTGTCTCAGAGCAGTGTTTGGACAGTTGGCCTCCCCCCAGAGGCCCGCTCTGCCCCGGAGGCTGAGCAGTCGCCAGAGGTCCAGGAAGTCTCTGCAGCTCTCGGTATTTATTTTTCTCCACCTCCCGCCCCCTCCCTCCTGATAACTGACACATTCCCAAGAAAGTTCAGCTCCAATGGGGGTGTTTAAGGAAGGGTGGGCTGTTTTGCTTTTCCTTTTGTGGCGATGCCGCCAGCATTTAGTGCCCACACAGCCTTGAGCAGAGTGGCCCCGGGGGCAGCCGGCTGTGGACGCCGCCCCGCTGGGGCGGGCCAGGCTGGCGTGTGTTGGCACAGCCCGTGGGAGAGCAGGCCGCAGGTGGAATGGCCGGGCCTGGGGCTTGCCTCATCAGTTTTGGAATTTTTTTTTTTAAGTAAAAAATTTTTTTAAGCTTTGAAAATGGAAGGTTTGGGTATTAAAAAGAAAAAACTTAAAAAAAAAAAAGACACTAAAGGCCAGTGAGATGGAGTCTCAGGGTGGGCGCAGAGCGGCAGGACCCTGAGTTGTGTGTCCTTCCTCTAGGGTGTCTTCCGGATCTGGTGCGACCTTGGTCCAGAGTTCTGTTTGTTCTTCTCCTCCCCTCGGGTGGGGACCTGTTTTGTTTTTGGTGTCTTGTTTTCCTTCTCCTCCATGTGTCTTGGCAGGCGCTCATTTCTGTGGCTGTTGGCCAAAGGGAATGTTCTGGAGCTGCCAAGAGGGGAGGAGACTCGGGTTGGCTAATCCCCGGATGAACGGTGCTCCATCCTCCCTGTCCCTCATCACAGTGTTAAAGGAGCCCAGAGGAGCTACCTCGCCCGGACTCTGCTCTCCCACCTCATGTGTCAGGCGTTTGCCCAGTGCCACCACTAGTCTCAGCTGCTCCCATCAGCCGCGTCACCACCTGGTCCTTCAGAACCTGCTGTGGAGGTGGGGCCGCGGGTGGGGAGGTTGGCCCTGGAAAAGCAGGCTGCCCAGGTTTTGGTTCCAGTTTCTGTCCCAGGTGCCTGGTACCCATGGCCCACTCGGCGCCTGGTGGTGAGAAGCCACCTCACTTTAGATCAGTCACCTGGGTCCCCGCCTTAGGTCAACCACTTGGACACTAAGGCACGTTTCAGCGTCTCTTGTCTCGATGACTACGTCTGTTTGTCCATTTGTGTTTTCTGCGTCGTGTCGTTAGATGTAATCCTCAGAAATAGCGCACACTAGCCTCTGACAACCACGAAGCAGTCCGTTCCATGTGGGTCTGAACTTGTAGACTCGGTCAAATATCAAATAAACCCGTCACAGAAAGTAGCCTTTGGAGGTCTCCATGCTGTGGGGGGACCCTTCCCTCAGCTCTCCGAGGCCCACGGGCCCAGTGGACCAGACTGTTGAGTAACCATTTATTGGGCACCTACAAGTAGCAAACTGCACCTCTCACCGCCCCATGCACGTGAGCTGGAAAGAGCACCTGGTGCGTGAGAGGCACCAGCCCGGCCAGGGCTCCCACAGCCAATCCTCTGCTGGCCTAGCCGCCTGTGTTTCGCCCGCGTGAGCTCTGATGGGGGAGGGGAGGCGGCCCTGGAGCGGAAGCCAGTGCTCTCGGGTCGCTGTCCCAGCTCGGCCATCCCTGCATGAAGCTGGGCAGATCCTTCCCCTCCCGTGGCCTCCATGCCCCGGCCTGTACAATGGGAACTCCTCTCTGCTCCCATAGGTTCCTCTGATTCCAACAGCCAGTCCCCAGGGCTCTGCGGAGGTGGCGCTGACCTGACCCTGGGAGGGCCTGACCTGCTCCCAGCCCCTTCGGGAGCCTCTCGAAGGGGCTGGGGCCAAGGACAGGCTCAGGGAGGTGGGCAGAGCTGCCCTCAGCTCAGGCTGTGCTGTTTTGATGTGTGGCCTCAGTGGCCTGGGTGTCCTCACTGGTAGAAGTCAGGGTGGTGCTGGCAGCCTGGCAGGGTTGCTCTGAGGGTGACTCATGAGAATTGTGCAAGTAGGTGGGGTTTTCAGCAGAGTGCCCGATCCCAGTACCCAGTGAAGGATATTTTCCCCCGGACCAGTGAGGCTTGTGCTGGGCCAACATGGGGGCCCGGGACAGCCGTCTTTTGGTGAAGGAGAAAGGGCACTGTGATCTTGGCCGTAGCAATGAGGCCTTACCTGCTGCTGGGGCTCCTCCTCTGGGACAGGCAGAGCCTGTCCTTGCTCCATGGACTCTGACCCCTCTAAGTGACCTTGGACTAAGCCAGGATATTCTTCCTCTCTGCCCCTGACATGGGCTTTCTGATGGGGAGCAGCTGGGCCTGGACCCCCCCCTCCAAGGCCCCTCCTGAGTCTCCACTCCATTGGGAGTGGAGGTCTTCCCCTCATGTCTGGTCCGGCTGCTCCCTCCCACGTCCCACGCCTGCCCCCACCCCAGCCTTGGGGCTGCCCAGGATCCAGAGCAGGTGTGTTTGATCTGGAGCTGGTTAGCTTTTGGAAAGAACAACCACCACCCACCCACTTCTCAAAGTCAGAGCAAAATAAAAGCAAATTGTGGAAGGCCCCCTTCCCCCCAGCATTTGCCACTTAAAACCACAGTGGGGGTCTCTTCTCTGATTACAACAGCAGTTTGGAAAACCTGGGGATGTTCAAAAAATAAAACACCCTCCTATTCTACCCAGAACAGCCTCTGCTAGCCTTTGGTGAATAGTTGGTGGGGCATTCACTAAGTACCAGGCCCTGTGCCAAGTTCTTCATTAGAAGTAAAGTGTTCATCTTCCTCTTCCTAAGAGAGACTTCTGTTATCCCCAAGTTATAGACAGGAAGGTGAGGCCGGGTGGGGACAGAACCCAGTCTGCCTCATCAGGACTCCACTACCCGCCTTTGGTGCGGTTCCTGGGGACCTGTCCACCCAGCATGCTGGACGCGCCCCCTGCTCTGGCGCCTGGCCTGTATTTGCTGGGTGGCTGCACCAGCAGGGGCCAGGACAGCGAGCGAGTCTCGGCTGTATTTCTCCCATGGTTCTGTCTTCTGCCTGCCCTCCTCTCCCAGCCGAATGCTGTGAACCTCTTGTCCCCTAGCCCTCCTGGGGAAGCTGGGACCAAGCAGCTACTCCCAGTGCGGTCGCCCAGAAAACAATTTGACTCTGGGCCAAGGCTCCTGAGGGCTGAGCTGTGTTCCGGAGCTCACTCCTGAGACACTCTGTCCCTCGGCCATTCAGACAGCGTCATTTCAGGGAAGGCCAGCGGCCAGTTTTTCAGTAGCTGAAGCCAGAATGGGCCCCGAAATGGCCCCCAGAATGGCCCGTCAGCTGCTGAGTGGGGTTGGCTAGAAGGGTCGGCATGCATGGGCTGTTCCACACCTCCTGACTTGAGACACCAAATCTCTTGGGCCTGGGGGTGGGGAACAGGAACCGTGGCGCTCGATGCTGAAGACCCAGGCCCCCTCTCCCTAGCCCCTTCCTCCTCCTAAGACCCCCCTGTCTTCTACCTTCCTGTGAGCTGCAGACTGACCTGCACACTCCCTTCCATCGCCCTGCCAGGACCTGGAGTTTTGGAGCTGGAGACTTTCCCTGGAGACTTCTTTTACCTTTGGAATACAAAGCCAGTCAGAGCCAATGTGGTGTGTAGGCCTCCCTTGCATTCCCCCCCGCAAGCAGATGATGCTGGTGGCCCTGGGACTTTGGTTACAATTAGTGGTGGCACACGCGCTGGCGCTCAGGTATTCTCTTGCCTGAGCAGCGTCTTTGCCCAGATACTCCTGGAATTCAACTCCTCGGTGGTACCCAGTAAGCAGCCAGCCGCAGTCTGGAGGGTGGGGGTTGGGCAGGGAGGAGCAGTGGAAAGCACGAAGGAATCAGGAAGGACTAAGCCTGGATTAGCTGGGAAGAAGGACCCAGGCTATAGGGCTGGGGTGGAGGGGGCCTGGACAAATGGGCTCAGCTGGAGGGAGCCCAGGCTGGCCTGGGGCAGGGGAGGGGCGGGGTGAGGCGGGGATTGGGTTTGCTCTGCACCGGCAGTGGTTAAGTCCTTCCAGCCTCCCAGACTCTACCCACTCACCCCTCTGACCTTTCTCCGCTCCAGCCTGAGCACAACACCAGAAGCCACCCCCGGCGGGTCCTCATGGCCTTCCTGAGCCCGGGGCAGCTCCAGAAGGTAGGGGCCTGCATGGTGGGTGCAGGGAGGGTCAGGTAAGAGTGGGAAAACCCTCTGGAGGGCACTGCAAGTACTCCCCCGTCCCACGACCCCGACCCCACCCCCTGCCGTTTTTCAGAAAAGGAAACTGAAGCCTGAGCAGTAGGTTCCCAACCGCCTCTAACTTCTGCACACACAGCCTGGGGTGTCCAGACCACAGGACAGAGTGGGATGGGAATGTGTGTGTCTGTGACCAAAACCCACAATAAAGCACCGGGGTCCGCCAGTCCCTGCCCGGATCCGGGCCTGCGATTCGGGGGCGGGGCCCCTCAGGAGATCTCCCAGAGCCCCGCTTGGGGGGCCCTGTGTGCTTTCAAACACAAAAGACTGACTCACGGGGATCAGAGGGACAGTCTTTAACATGACCCTTGTTGTTGGTTCCTGATGACAAGAGAAGAGTGCAGAAAAATACAGAAAAGCTCGAAGAAGAAAGTTTAAAACCACCCATCAATTCTTACGCTGACACAGTATTTTGGTATACAGCTGTAGAATCTTTTTTTAAGTCCATCCTAATAGCTACGGCTTTCAGCTCATTGAGTGCTTGGCTAGGTTACTAATTATTTGGCTTTTTTTTTTTTTCCCCCCCATCAGGAACATACTTCCATGTCAGTAAATATTTGTCTACCACATGATGTTTTTCAGCTCTGTTGTGTTCCAGACAGACTATACTTTGTTGAACAAAATCCCTTGTGCTAGGCATTCAGGTTATTTCTGATTTATTGCTGTTGTTAAACAAGCCTTGGGGAACACACTCATACATTCATCTTTGCTCCCCTATTTGCCAGTCCTCTAACTTTGTATCTCAAGAATTTTAGCGTGTTTACAGGACCGTGGGTTTGCATAAGTTAGCTGTGGGTGACCCAGTTCCCAAGGGGGCAGTTTCAGCTTGATACTGAGACGAGGACTAAGTTTCCATCGTGCAGCGCTGCCGGGAGACTGAAGCGCCCGTGGTGGGGGGCCATGAATGTCCCAACGTCCCGTGTGTGCACACAAGGCAGAATGGACATCGTGGGGGGTGGAATGGGGTGTCAGTAATGGGAAATCAGACACTTCACAGAGGGTTCAGGGGGCGACTTCAATGCTCCTTTCCAGGTTAAGACTTTATTTATATCTGTAAGCAAACGTGCATTGATTCTTCCCTTATCTTAACAGCCTCAGAGTAAGGGGACTGGAGGCAAGTCAGAGTTAGCCTTGGATATTAACCCCCTTGGCGCCCAGGGTGAAGCCCAGCTGCTTGCACAGCCGGTCGGCCACCCTCCCACCTTCCTTCCATACCCACCCTCGCTCTGCTCCACCGGGTCCTAATTCATGTGTTTCTCCTGAGCCCAGGGGCTTCACATGTCCTGCTGGTCCCCTTAAATGTCACTTCCTCAGGGCTGCCGCCCGGAGACCTCCTGTCCTCCCCATCCGGATCACATTAGACTCTCCTTCCTTTAGTTCCAGCACTGCCCTCTCCCGCCTTGCACTCAGCAGTTTGTAACAGTTTGCTCCCCTGTGTGTTGGTTGCTCCTTGTCTTGCTCCTTTGTTAGACGGTGGGTTCCGGGAAGGCAGGCATCCTGGCTGGCTGGCTCGCTCATTACTGAATCTCCCGGTCCTAAAACCATGTCTGGTAGATAGTAAATGCTCAGTTGATTTTTGCTGAGTAACTGAATGAGGTTGTATTCCCCTGTGACCCAAGCCCAGTGGAGGGGAGGGGAAGGGAAGGACCCCTTGCCTTCCTCCTTCCGTCATTCCGGCCAATACTGATTACTCATCACTGGGTGCCAGATACGGTGGCCAGGGCAGGGGACAGAGCAATGAACAGGACACTTGGTCCTGCCTTCACATGGCTTGGGCGAGGGGCTCAGATCGGTTCTCATGGAGAGCGTCTGAGGGCTGGGGGGAGCCTGAGCCTCCCTCCCGCCTGCAGTTCCGGGAGGATGGATTCCTGGTGCTGGAAGGGTTCTTGTCCGCTGACGAGTGTGTGGCCATGCAGCAGAGGATTGGGGAGATAGTGGCCAAGATGGACGTCCCTCTCCACTGCCGCACAGAGTTTTCCACCCAGGAAGAGGAGCAGCTGCGAGCGCAGGTGGGTGCCGGGGGCAGGTGAGGTTGCTCTCTGGTCTTTGATGGGGGGCAGTCCCCAGCCAGAGCAGCAGCCTGGAAGCCCACGGCTCATTGTGATAACAGGTCAGGCCCCTCGCCTTCAGGGTGCCAGGCTTCAGGCTAAATGCTTTAAGATGCCTGGTTCTTCCATTTTTCACTATGAATGCATATAGTCAGCATTACTGTCTCCATTTGACAGGTGGGGGAAATGGGGCTAGGCTCACTTGCCCCAGGCCACAGGGCTAGTCACTGATAGAGCAAGGATTTGAACCCAGATCTTTGTGAGACCAAATCCATGCTGTTCATGGCCCTCCTGTTCTTCCTCAGGAGTTCTCCAGCCGCAAAAGGGCGGCCTGGTGGCCAGCGGCGCGGAATGAGCCCAGTGATTGCGGTGGACCTACCTGTGTAGGGCTTGTTCCCCGATGAGGCTGGAAGCTCTGCTCGCTTCCCTCCAGTGACCTCATAGGGCTCAGTGCAGATTGGGATGGGGACCTTGAGACGGGATTCTCCCACAGTTTTTTCAGCCATCCCCCAACCCGCTAACGGTTCTCACACTCACGCTGAGGAGCTCCTGCCATCTGGTGGACATAAAGGGAATCACAGTGACTGAAGCCGAGCAACCCACAGGACAGGGACTTCAGAAGGAAAAAGGCACACGGAATCATAATTTCCTCTGAATAGTTTTATTTGTCAGCACTCCAGCCTTCTACGTGGGGATAGAAGAGACGGGGGTCTTGTGTCCAGCGTGACTCAAAGGCTCCTCTGCTGTCCAAGCTGCTTTCTGAGGATGTTGCAGGGACCAGTGGGGGGTGGGGGGAGAACCCGGGAGAAGCAAGAATATGTTTCTTGATTTACAGGATGGGGCAAGAGTTTACAGCTGGGAGTATGCACAACACAGTTTATTCTTGTATTATTACTTATTAATTATTGTATTATTTTCCATACAAACAACTGTCACCCTAATTTTGCCCCACCCTGCATAATGCTTGAGGAGAACTCTGCACAGTGCTTGCTACTCAGTAAATCCTCAATAGTCACTGCTGGTCTTGTGAAAGACTTTAACTTTAAAAGATAGAAAGATGAGGGAGTGGCCTGTCTAATTCACCCAGCTTACCTCCCTCCACATCTCATCATCTTTGAGTTATTTTACAACTCAAGCATGCAGTTAAGTTGCATAGAGCAGATAATAATGCACACATGATATTTGTCTTTAGAAGTGGATATGAACTGGCTAGCAGAATGAAATTATTATTCAGTGCCCTGCACTGGCTACAGTTATTCAGAATGCAGTTATTATTATTGCCCTGTGGAGAATTGAGTTTTGCACCAATTTGTCAATTCGTTTTAGCATTCGTTGCTGCCCACATGGGTGTGGTTCATGGAACTCTCCTGGGAACATCTTACTGGTTCCCTTGTGAATTAATGAGTTAAGTAAAATCTTTGGCACATTTAGCATCATTGTATTTGATATTATTAATGTTGATTTTGCTTCCCTGACTTGTTTTTCCTTCCCTTGATCCTAAAAGTAGGGTTAAGAATGTTGAAAAAATAAACTTTTAGTTTTCAGTGGGGATGTCTTTGAAGGGGTCAGGCAGGTCACCCAAGTTGAGCCTTATAGGCACAGGTCGGGGCATGGCGGGGCTGTGTCCCTGGGAACCCAGGTTGGGGGTCAACGCCACCCACCTCTACTCCACACCACGCAGGAAGGTAAGGAGATGTATATAATGGTGGTCAAGGGTGGCTAAAGCCACAGAAAAATGTGAGGCATCTTCCTGGAGCATCATTTTTATATGATGCTAAGGAATTTTAAACACGATATTAAAATGAAGAAGGAGAGATTATTCAAAAACAGAAAAACATTAGTAATAGCTTCTATTGGGTTGGCCAAAAAGTCTGTATGAGTTTTTCATAAAATAAAAGGCACATTTTTCATTTTCACCAATAACTTTATTGATTTGGATATTTTGAGTATGTCGGCTACCTCCTGCCTGATATAACATTCATTGTTCTCAATTAATGTCTCTGTTTGATCGCTATCCACTTCAACTGGTCTACCCGACTGTGGAGCATTGTCCAGCAAGAAATCTCCAGCACGAAACTTTGAAAACCACTTTTGACACATTCAGTCAGTCATAGCACCTTCTCCATACACTGCACACATCTTTTTTTTGCATTTCAGTTGTGTTTTCACCTTTCTTGAAATAATAAAGCATAATAAGCTGAAAATGTTGCCTATTTTCATCCATTTCAATATTAAAATGGCTACACAAAAATTCACCAATTTTGATGTCTTTTTAAATGCCACTGATATGAAAACTGTCACAATGCAATTTAACAAAATTGATTCAAATGAAGTAAAAGACAACTAAGTGCTACTAGAGCCATCTTACAGAAAAAACCAAATGAACTTTTTGACCAACCCCCATATTTATCAAGCATTTAGCCATGCCCTTGCTGAGTGTTTTCTATTTAGCAGCAGTAGCAATAATAATAATAATAAAAGCAGATATTCACATGTCACTTAACCTCTTTCCAAGGACTGTTCTAGTGCTTTTTTTATATACCCACAACACCTTGTGAGACAGGTACCATGAATAGCCTCTATATTCTATGAGGGAATTAAGCCTCCAGATAGGTCGAGTAATGTGGTCGTGGCCACACAGCCAAGTCAGTGGCAGAGCTGGGATCCAAACCCAAGTATTCTAGCTCCAGGGTCTGTGCTCTCTCTCCTCTGCTCGTAGATTCAGCCTCCACCTGAAGCCTCCAACAAGCCTGAGGAGGTCAGTTCTATTATTAGTCCCCTTTGCAGAGGAGGAAGCTGAGGCTCTGACAGGTGACACAAGTGGCTTAAGGCTCTCTGGGCACCAGGCCTGTTTTATTCTAGCACCTGTTTTGAACCGCACCATATCAAGTGTGAGTCGTGTGATTTACTAAGAGGATTCCGTGAAATTCATGCTTGTAGCTTCTGGCTGTGCTTCCGGGCCCTTGGGTTTCCCGTTCCACCTGCCTCCGTGGGCAGGTTTGGGAAACACCAGAGGGGTCTGAAGCCCTGTGGGTGGGAGCATCTGAGTCCTCTTCCCTCTTGGCCAGGCCCAGCTCTGACCCTGTGACGCTCTCTCAGTCCCTCTGATGTCCCCTCCACAGGGTAGCACAGACTATTTCTTGAGTAGCGGCGACAAGATTCGATTCTTCTTTGAGAAAAGCGTTTTTGATGAGAAAGGTTTGGAGCTGGGGTCCTAGGGGCGGGGGTGCACTGGACTCGGGTATCTGCCCCCAGGGCTGGGGGAGAGCTGTGAGGTCAGCTCCCTGGGAGAGGCTGGACTCCACGTTTCAGCCTTTACCTGTTCCTTGTGCCACAGGAAATTTCCTGGTCCCTCCAGAGAAATCCATCAACAAAATTGGCCACGGTAAGCAAGCACATTGTGGAAAGAGACTGGGTAAACTGAGGCCTGAAGAGTTTAGGGGTGTTACCCAAACCCTGCAGTGAGTTAGTGGCCCAACAAATGGCATTTCTGACTGCAGTGTCCTCTCTGGCCCTGCTCCTCCGCATCTTATGATGCTATCATGTGGCACTAGGAAGAGGGGTCCACAGAGCCCCCCCACAGATGGGCACAGGCAGACCCCTCAGCTCCCTTGGCCTGGGGGTGCTTCCTGGAGCCTCCTGAAGGACACCTAACACATTGACATGGTCCCTGTTCTGAGGCCCCACACCAAGCTAGGAAATCCCCCTCCCCCCTACATTATAACTTATTTTGTAAGCAAGCTTTTTAAGCTTGAAGTTATATTATGGTAGCTTTGTGAAAATTTTATTGTCAAATACATATAACATAAACTTTACGATTGTACCCATTTTGAAGTGGTATTAAGTACATTCAATCCTCCCTTTTTTTTTTTTGAGGTTTATAAGCAACATGTAACACGTCCACCCCTGCCCTTCCCACTTGGTGTAGTAACGACAGAGCAGATAATGAGAAGAGTGGCTTTTTAGTGCACACCCCGAGCTGTGGTTGCACATGAGTTAGCCCTGCGAGTCCTAGGCAGACGGGGAGGTGTCCCATAGAGTAAGTGGCAGTACTGAGATTGCCACCAAACGATGGGCCCCTTGGAGTGCTTTGTCTTCTGAGGAGTGGAGGGAGGCTCTCAGATGGCTGCAATGTCAAGACTAAAGTCTTGGAGGGGATGGGGCCTGGGATGCGGTGACGGTGTTTGTGGGGAAACTCAAGGCACACAAAATCAGCGATGGAGAGGCCTGAGCCTGGATGCCCAGGGCCAGGCATGGGAGGGATGCGTGGGGGCTGGGGGCGAGCCCATCAGCTCACCTTTGTCCCACAGCTCTGCACGCCCATGACCCTGTCTTCAAGTGTGTCACACACTCCCCCAAGGTGCAGGTGAGCCGAGGCGGAGGCAAGGGCGGTAGGCGGGCCGTGCAGGAGTGGGGCTAGGCCAGCAGTGTGACCTCTGCCCTCTTCCAGGCCTTGGCCAGAAGCCTGGGCCTCCAGATGCCCGTGGTGGTGCAGAGCATGTACATCTTTAAGGTGAGCTCCCTGGCCTCCCCAGGCCTCAGTTTATCCTCTGTAAAATGGGCAGAGTGCTTAGCCCAAGCCCCTCCTTACAAGGAGCAGAAACTCTTCCCAAAGGAGTTATTAAGTTGGGGGAAGAACACGTGATACTGGTTTTCCCTGCCTAATGCACCTGGCACTTAGTTGGTGCTCAGTTAAAATTTGCTGGTAAAAGGGAACCCCAGGGACTATGTCCTCACTTCACTGGCTATTACAATGCTCTGCTTCCAGCTTCCAAGGCCCAACTCAGTACCCTCTTCCAAGAAGCCTTTCAGCTCCCTTAGAAAAAGGGACTGGCCTGCGTCTTAGCCTCTCCTGCTGCCCTTCACTTCTGCCTTGTGCATGTGTGTGGTCAGACTGGGGGTGCCGTGTAGGGCAGGGTGGTTTCGCTCTTTGCAGCCCTCCTGGGCCTGGCGCACAGTAGGTGCCCGTAGATGGGCGCCGAGGTGAAATCCTTGGAGATAGACACCTGTGGCCAGGGCAGAGCTTCCCACAAGATTCAGAGCGGGCCCAGCCCCATCCTGCCCTCTGGCCTCATCTGGCCCTTCCTCTCTCTTGCAGCAACCTCACTTTGGCGGCGAAGGTGAGCCCAGGACAGACTATAGGCCGAGCAAAGGCGATCTGGGATGTTAGTGGTTGTTGGGTCTTTGGTGGGAGGGAAGGGGCTGCCACAATGTCCGGAGGCTGGGCAGGGGCAGTCACCTTCTGCTCCTTCCGGAAGAATGGATTGGGAGGGCGTCCTGGGTCCCTCAGCACAGTGGTTCCCGAACCTGGCTGCAACTCCTAACTGGTTAAAAATACAGGTTCCTGGGCCCCATCCCCCAAGCTCATGAGTAAGGCTGCCAGGGCCTGGGAAGCTGTATTTTAACAAGCTCCTTGGAAGATTGAGTCAGCATAGAAATTGGTGATCTAATTCCAGCCCCACCGGAGGCACCGACATCCTTTATGGCCTCCCTCGTGGGCGATTCCACTTCTGCTCACATACCTCCAGTGGCAGGGAGCTCATCCCCTCCCCGCGGCCCTTTCCTTCCTCACATGTGCCCAAGCTGGCCTTCTTGTGACCACCCTCCTCCTCCCCCCATTTAGTCAGAGGATGGTGTCTGAAGGGATGGCTGTCTTCTCCCCAAGTCCAGCACCCCCACTTCCTTCAGCCACTCCTCCTCCAAGCATTTGAAACACCCACCATTAGGACATCCCCCTCTGGACAGTGTCCGTGTTCTCATGTCCCCTTTAAAGTTTGGTGCTGAGAAAACACACAGTTCCCCTGGAAGGAAGGTGGTGACAGTAGCACCCCCTTTACTTGGTTGTTAACAGACAAAGTTCTCTTGGTCAGCAGCCCTCCATTCTGGCCGGACCCTAGCATCATGGAGAGAGGTGTTTGTGGGTGCTTGGTCGGCTGTCCCCCTAATTTTGCACTCAACTCCCCAGTCTTACACCACTGGGTGAATCATCTGGTGACTGGAGGTGCTTGTCCCTGGGTAGGACAGTGGCCTAAGTTACCTGGCTGGAATTAAACAACAGCAGCTACTTTTTGGCAAGTAATTTCAATGTTCGTCCCATGCCGGCACTTTTCGCGCCTCATGGAATCCTCCAGGAACACCATGAGGCAGATGATTGTTGGGGCTGCTTTACCATTTAGGAGACTGAAGCTTTGAGAAGCGGGATCTCTTGTTCCGAGTTCCTGGGCCAGGAACTGGTGGATCCTAACTGATCATGGGCAGTCTGGGCCTGGAGGGCGTGGGGAACAAGGCCCCGGGGAAGTGGGGCGGGGCCTCTCATGCCCGGGTGGGCCTGCCTCAGTCTCCCCTCACCAGGATGCCACCTTCCTGTACACGGAGCCCCTGGGCCGGGTGCTGGGCATGTGGATCGCGCTGGAGGATGCCACGCTGGAGAACGGCTGCCTCTGGTTCATCCCTGGCTCCCACACCAGTGAGGACACCTGTCCCTCCCTGCCCACGCACACCCCAGCCGCCATGGGAGAGGGACCCAGAAAAAAAAAAAGAGAGAGAGGCTAAATGCTTCCCCGTGGCCTGCAGGTGGAGTGTCGAGAAGAATGGTCCGGGCCCCAGCTGGCTCGGCACCTGGCACCAGCTTCCTGGGGTCAGAACCAGCCCGGGACGACAGCCTCTTTGTGCCCACTCCAGTGCATAGAGGTAGGCGGCATGCAGAGGGCAGGAAGGCAGGGCCCCGCGGCCATGCCTGTGGGTCTCTGCTTGCTCTGAGCACCCAGCTCACCTGAGGGCGGTGGAGTCACAGGATGAGAGATGGTCAGTCACAGGACACGGGGGAAGTGGGAAGCAGCGGGACTAAAAACAAGGTGTCCCAATCAGGCTGGACTCCAGACTCTGCTACTTCTGGGCTCTTTGGGCAAACGACCGGATCTCTCTGAGCCTCGGTTTCCCCAAGTGGAAAGTGGGGAAGTCAGTGAGATGTCGTATCTAAGATGTTTACACAGAACCTGTGTGGCAGATGCCAACTATTAGTGCCCCCTCTTTCTTTTGGGAAAGGGAAAACTGAGGTCCAACCTAGCATTTAATGGCAAGATCCCAGCTGACCAGCATAGCTTCCGCCTGGCTCTGCGAACACCACAGAAGAGGATGGTCTTGCTGAAGCTTGCCAACGGCATGGCAGAAGGGACCGGATCCTGGGGAACCCATGCCCTGCAGCCCAGCCTCAGCTCTTGGGGAAGGCTGCAGACCCCTGAGCTTTTAGAGAAGGGGATGGAGATGAATAGACAAAAGTGCTTGAGTCTTGGAGGGTCCCATGCCCTTTCCTGACCTGCTGTGTCCCTGCCAGGGGCCCTTGTCCTAATCCATGGAGAAGTGGTGCACAAGAGCGAGCAAAACCTCTCTGACCGCTCACGCCAGGCCTACACTTTCCACCTAATGGAGGCGTCTGGCACCACGTGGAGCCCGGAGAACTGGTAGGTGGCTGGCAGGGTGTGTCTCAGTCTCCTGAAGAGGTTCTGGAGGCTGGGGGGCGGGGGCAGTGATACTGCCACCTCGAGATCATCTCCTCTGTCCTCTGCAGGCTCCAGCCCACAGCCGAGCTGCCCTTCCCCTCGCTGTACACCTAAAGGAAGGCCCCCGCAGGGCTGGGCACTGTCCCCTTCCAGGAAGCTGCGGGCTGCAAGCACCAGCACCTCGCCTGACCGCCCAGCTGCAATGGGGAAGTCACAGCTCCTCCTGGACTTTCCTTCTGCCCAGTGTCTGTGCCCCTCAGTGCTGCAGACAGGCAGGCAAGTGGTGGCAGCGGGAGTCCAGCCGGGCGCCTTTCCCAAGATGCCTCCCTCCTCTCTCCAAAGCAGTGATTTTCAACCTTTTTCATCTCATGGCACAAATAAACTGGTTATTGAAATTTGGAGGCACACCAAAAAAAAAAAAGGTTTTTTGAGGATCTGGGAAAAAAAGGTATAATTTTGATTCGCTCATACCAGACTACTATTGTATTGGCCATTGTCATTTTTTAAATTGAGAATCTAAGAGAAAAGAGGGCCGTGCCCCTGACTAAATAGGGGTGTGTTTTAAAACCCCTTGCAGGGCACCAGTGTGCTCTGCAGCAAACGGGCTGGACACCGCTGCTCCGAAAGGCAGCCTCTCGGCTACAGAGGGGTTCTGGCTACTTCTCTGCCAGCTTCCTTTTGGAACTCTATTACAGTGCAAGACACTGAATAAAAATGACTTCCAAATGCAGCTTCTTGAGCCTTCTTTCCCAAGTACGCTTGTTCTCAAAATGAGGGCCCTGCTCAAAATCATCCGAGGTACCCAGCCTGGCCTGGTGAGGTCCGCGGTTTTCCTAACAGCAAGTCACCCTTAGCAGGCACTTGCTCATTGTGCCAAGAGCTTCCCATTTGTACCTCTCCGAGTCCTCACACTGATGGACCTTTGATGTAGGTGCTCTTACCATCTGTGTTTACAAGCGACATGACCTGTCCAAGTCACACAGCTGTTCAATTGTCAGCAAGCTCAGCCTGACCCAAAGCTTCTAACCCTGGGGATGGGGAAATAGGACCAGGACTGGGAATCCAGTCCCAGATTCTGGTCCTGGCTCTGTGACCAAATAGCTTCCTGGTCTCAGACCAGGCCCTTCCACTCTCTGGACCTGACGAGGGGCTCCATAGGTCCCCTCCTGCTTGGGCATGCTTGGCAGGCACCCAGATGTTTCACAAGAACTACCAAATTCTTGGGCAGGAACACAAAATGCAGTGTACAGATGGTGCTTTGTGGAATTGAGCACCTGAAACCTGTAAAATTTTGTTAACTAGTGTCACCCCAATAAACTGAATAAAAAGGGCAGGGGAGAACTACCAAATCTAGAATCTGTGTAGCCAGCATCTGGCTCAAAGGTTGCAATCAGAGGCTATTAGCTGATTCCAGACCACAGATGTGTTTTGTCTGAGCCTTGGTGTTTTTATAAAAAAAAAAAAAACTTTTTAAAGATTTTGTTTCTTTATGTTTAGAGAGAGGGGAAGGGAGGGAGAGAGAGAGGGAGAGAACCATCGTCCAACCAGTTCCCTCTTGTATGCCCCCAACTGGGGACCTGGCCCAAAACCAAGGCATGTGCCCTGATTGGGAGTCGAACTGTTGACCTTTTAGTTGTGTCAGCAGGCCAGTGCTCAGTCCACTGAGCCACACCAGCCAGGGCTATAAAAACTTTTTAAAATGGGGAGATTTCACCTATCAGATTTCTAAGCTACCTTGAAAGAACAGGTCAACAGCACTGGGCCTATGGTCGAGCCTGCTGACTGGCCGGAGCGGCCTCCTTAGAGGCACGTGTGCTCTTTGCATCTCACTTTTGCATCTTTTTCATCTGTCTGGCCTCAGAGGCCATATGAGTTTGTGGCCTTGATCTCCAGTCCCCACTGCATGCATGGACAAGCCAAGGCCCAGAGGACAGAGTCCTTTCCCAAGGCCACAGCGAGTCGAGGCAAAACTGCTGCTCTTCCCCGACACTTTGCCACCTCCTTTAGCCAGCAGTGGGGAGTCTGAGAGAAGGGGTTTGTCACCTCTCCTTGGAGCCCCCAAAGGAATGTCTCAATACTTTCCTCTGAGGCAAAGGATGTGGCAGTGCTTGCACAAGCTCCCAGAGCTCCACCCCTGGCTTCTGCCTTAGTGGTCAAAGTTTAGCTTCTCTTGCTGCTAGGCCTGTCCCTGCCAGGCTGGGTGAGAAGCAGGGAGAAACCAGCTCCTCTTCCCCAAGCCATTCCTCACATGCAACAAGTCAATCCCACAGCTCCCCTTCAGCAGTTCTTAGCCAAGCACTTCTTCTTGGGTTCACCTCCAAATAAAGCCCAGGTAACTCTGGTCTTCAAGTGCAATCTACAGCCGTTGGCTTGCTCAGAGAATGGCCTTGAGTAATGACACTCTCCCTTGCTGATCAGTCATGATGTGTGGGCTGCGGGCTGGACATCGTACACGCCTCACCTCCCCAGATCCTCACAACACACTGTGAGGTTGCAGGCTGTTATTATTCCCATCTTGCAGACAGCAGAATTGAAGCCCACAGTGCTTAAGCTACTCATACAGTTAAGCGGTACAACCAAGGATTGACCAGTTTAGTTTGACACAGAACCTTAAGTGTTAACCATTATGCAACATGGTCTCCAGTGTCCACTCTGGCCACTGTGAGGATTACAAAGTTGGGGGGGTGCCCTATATCACACTCAATGTCTTTAAGTTGTTGCACTATCCTTTAAGCCTTTTTCTGTCTTAATATCAGCAAAACTAAGACCAAGAGAGCTTTACTTTTTATTTTGAGTATGAATCAACCAAAAATTCAAATGTGCTTCTCACCGCTTGGCTTTTCATGCCCAAGGGGTTGGCTGCTGTGGGGACCATTCATCCTTCCCATGTCCCTGTTTCCTCCATTGCTGCTGCATAACAGCTAGGCCATCAGCAATATCAGGAGGTAGAGAGGCAAAAGGAGATTGTCTATCTGTGTAGTGTATGCTTCTAGTAGGGACACTATGCTGACGGACCCCAAAATCCAAGCATAACTGTGGTTTAGGTCCACTTCACTGTCAAAGATTAAGATCAGAGCTACAGAAATGATCTGGGCAAATATAGATGTCATGGTCCCCTCAAAAGTCTTTTTGGTTCCAGGCCAGCGGATCTCCCCCATGGTGCTGCCAAAGATGGAGGCCACAGTGTCGCCCACACCCACAGACAGGACTCCAGCATAGGGGACTAGGGCCCTTGCTCCCCCCAGGCTACCCTTCTGTGTACAGGGCCTAGGGATTAGCCAAATGGGAAGAGACATCCCCAGGAGCAAGTAGATGTGCGTCAGGATGAGCGGTCCGCTGTCTCGTTCATCCAGGAAGAGGGAGAGGAGGCTCCGCAGAGTGTGGCCTAGGGGTTTAATGCGGAAATAGCGCACATACTCCAGGAAGATGAAGACAGCCAGACATACAGTGGCGGCCACATAGAGCAGTGGTCGGTCAAAGATGATACCTGGGACGTAGGTGGCTACCACAATGAAGTGGAAATACTTCCGGGCAATGGTGGGGGCCTGGTGCTTCTTGGATTCAGAAGATGACCGTTTCGCATTCTGATACAGCACCACGAGGCAGGCAAAGGCGGCCAGCAGAGACCAGTAGGCTAGGAGGTAGATGCGGGTTTCCGTTTGGACGAGGAATTGAAGAAGCCAGAGCAGGGGGTTCCTGCGGATGAGTCGGTGCAGCCAGGGCAGGACCACGCCAAGGCCCAGCACACAGGTCATAAGGTGGAAGAAGATGGAAGAGGCCCAGGTACCTGAGTCCATGAAGACAAAGAGGGTGCTGAAGAAGATGCCCACAAGTACCATCCCTATCACTACCACCAGCAGCAGGAAGTCCACTGGGTCCCCCTGGCCTTCCACCACAGTAAGAGAGCGCTTGATGAGTTGGTTAAGCATGAAGCTGATGCCACCCAACACCAGCAGTGCCTCCCCAGGAGTGAAGCAACGGGGTAGCAGGTACAGCAGGATCATGTTGAGGTAAACGAAGATCAACAGGACCTCCAGGACCTCGATTACCTCACCCACACTCAATGAGTGCTTCATGATATAAGTGATGACACATCCAGCTAAGCCTGAGATAACACAAGTATTGGTGGGCACTGGGCGAGTGATGCCCAGCGCCAACACTGATGAGAAGAGGGCCACTGCCATGCCGGTGGCTGCCACCACAATTCCAAAGCGCTCGAAGTATGGGTTTCCAGCAGCCTGGCAGCGCTCCTTCATGACCAGTCCAAGCAAAGGCATGACCATCGAAGCGGGCAGGAGCCCACTGTTTGCGGACGTCCGGAACTGGAAGACGGCGCTGCCCTGCTGCAACAGCCGGTCCCACTTGTATTGAACGTAGAAGGCCTGCACTGCGAGGGCCACAGCGCACCACGAGTATCGGTCCAACACGGATGCGTGAATGCTCAGCACCACTGCAAACACCACTGCCGCCTCTGCCAGCACCGATCCGCTCAGCGGAGCTCCGATCCCCGGGGCCGGAGAAGCGCGCTCTCGGGTCATGTCTCTAGACCTGGGACCCCGGGCACACCGGGGTGACTAGGGACGCCTTGGATTCTGGGCCCCTCAAGCCCTGCCAGGCAGACAGCCGCAGCTTCACCCAGCCAGCACCTTCTCTCTCTGTTCTTCAGCTGCGAGGGCGCAAGCTCCACTGTAGGGCACTCTCTGACTCTTGATAGCTGGTGCCCAGTCACCCTCCGCCACCTCCCACCAACGGCACAGAGGTCGCCGCTCTTCCGCCTTCATCACACCCTCAGCTGCCCTAGATCCAGGATCCTAACCTCTGTGGAGCTCGCCATCTTGGCTCCGCCCCGCCATCACGTGACCGAAAGGCCGGCCCACGCACCCATTTAGATGCTAGCGGTCACGTGGGCGCCGCGTTTGGGGGCGGGGCTAGGACGCGCGCGCGCGCGCGCGAAGATGGCGGCTGCCGCCGGTGAACAGTGTGTGAGGTGCGGAGTGGGCCGAATCTGTTGGGGTGGCTGTGAGGCGTGGGGTCGAAGCCGAGTGGAAACGGGGCGGGAGTTGGGGGCGAGATGTGGCGGCGTTGGCGGGGCGAAGCCAGGCTAGGCGAACGGGCGCCGAGACGGGGGCAGTTACGTCCAAACGGTCCTCGCACGCGGGGATCTGAGGCGACTTCTCCAGGAAGGGGGCCGGTGCCTCAGCCCTTCCGTCAGCGCCGGCCTCCGTTCTCCTCACCCAGTCTCTTTCCCTCCTTTCCGTCTCCCCATGGGCGCTTCCCTCCGTCGCCCACCCGCCGGCCCCCCCACCCCCGACCGCGCTTCCTCGTCCGGCGTGACGCTCCTTCGAGGCGCGACGAGGCTGTCCGCGGTCGCCCGGGAGTCTCCCACCCGCGACCCTGGCGGCGCTCCCCGACTCCTCAGGTGCTGTCGCCAGGAAGGAGGTGTCTGGCGTGGCGCCTCTGCGTGGCCGGTGCCCTCTCTCCGCGCAGCCCTTCATTCATCCACCCATTCACGTTCTCAGGCGTCGGTGCCGTCAGGCGACAGCCCAGACCCGCGCCGCGGCCCCACGCACCGCACCGGGCTCTGGAGGCGAGGAGATGAAACATTAGAAAGAAAGAGGCCGTTGGTACCGACGGGGCGCTCCGGGGCGCCGGGCGCCGGGGAAGCGCCTTCTGTGCATCATCTCCGAATTCTCGTAACTCCGCGAGGCGCTTTCTGTTTTACA